CTTAGTTGACCTATTACCTAACCAATTAGCTAAAGTAATTTTTATTTTAAGTATTAAAAATAACTTTTTATGCATCAGAAAATTTCACATGCAAAATCTTTATAATGTCCAGATAGTTATCAAACTTTCTTAAGAAAAAACTTTATATTTTATCAGTTAATTTCATTGCAGGTGTTCGGTCGATTTGACCGATCTCGTAACCACCATAAAGTGAGTGATATATATATATATGCAGCAAATGGAAAAGGTGCGAGGGTCTTATTTTATATTCTAGGTTGTTAATATTGGTAATTTGAGTTCCTAATTTGTATGAAACTATAGACTTTGTATATTGCCATCACAAACATCTAATTTGAACCAGTGCTGTATTCAACATATCACATGACACACAAAAATTGATGTTTAGGTGTGTTTTTTTAATAGTTACTTTGAAATTAAGAAATTAAACAATGTATAATATTAAAATTTGCATTATAATCTACAGTTTGATACCAAACTTTTTGACATAAATTCATAAAATAGTAGTTCAATCAAATTTTGAATGCGAGTCAATAAATGAGATGACATGGCCTTTGACCCGTGTGGAAAATGTTAAAACATTTGGCACCAGAAGAATATTGCACATTAAAATACTTATTAATAAAATATATTTTTCTTCTAACAATATAAATACATTTTTGTTTAATTTCTTAAAAGCAAATATATAAATAATCAGCTTTAAAAAGTAATATTTTCAGAAAAAAAAATATAAATTTGTCTACAAGAACTTTTGTGATCAAACTTTGAAGTCATACTACTGCTGACTATATGACACAGCACAACACTGTTGAAAAACAGGAAATTTTAGTTAAGCACTTTTAACTGTCCTTCTAGTCCTCAGTAATTAGTCCACTTATTGTTTGGTTAAATCTAAACTTATAAATTATACCATGTTTAATTTCTTGAGTACGAATAATAAAACATACTTCCAAATATTACTTAACTTGTAGAGCATAGAAACAACCTTTAAATCTTGATGCTGGGTTGGAAGTTATCAGACGAAACATGATTTAACCAATTTATTTTAAAAGTCAAGCAATTGTGACCTTCTACAACCTACCAACGTACTTCTGGTCTGTAAATCCAGATATCCTGTGAAGCTAATCCATGGGCCAAATATGACTGTTCCAACACATAAAAAGTATCCAAAGCACTCAACAGGGTTGGGAAGGCTTATGAGGCCAGAATCTATGTCAAAAGCCAGAGATATGATCTTCATTGCTACAATCATCTGAGAACCTGAAGAAAAAGTTTTGTTATGCGCACCATGTAGAATTTTTATTCAATACAAAATAAATAAATCCAAAATAATTAAAGATTGAAAATCCTACGTTTCAAATGGCCAAGTCATTCTTCTTCAAGATACCCTTGGATGGTCATTACTAGTATTATTTATATTGATTCTGTTAAAACCTATCCCACCATCTTTAAAAGTCACATACAATTATTGTACTTCAAAAAACATTTCCAATATATTTTAACCCTGAATTTAAAGTCCTTTTGTTTTTAATTATTTCTATATGTCAATGTTTTTTTAATTATTGGTCAATCCTAGGTTTATAAACAATGTCTTTTTTTACACTACATCAATACAATGATCTGAGAACCTGGAGAAACAAGGTTAGAAAGTGTGACATGTAAAATATAACTTTTAAAATTAGTGCAACTTTAAGAAACTATACAGCATTTGCTTCTGTTTAATAATAATAGTTTAATATTTTAAAGAAAGAAGTGGATCAATTAAATGCAAGTTTAATGTTTATTCTGAGATAACTAACAGAATGAATATAAATATGAATACTGGTGGTGATGTACAATGTATTTTTAAATTTGAAGGAAAATGACTGGGCCATTCAAAACACATAGAAGTTTAAATCTTAAGTTTTAATGAATTAAAATTGTGTGAAAACTTTCACAAAACATCTTTCATAAAATACATATATATATATACAGAGGGTTGAGTACATTATGTCAAAACGATTTTGTATATGCAAACCAGCAAGTCATGTGAAAACCACAAAAGGTGTAAAGCTGAGGTGAAACAGCATGAATCAGAACTACATTTTAACAGTATATGGTACTGTCTAGGTATTATGGTGCCACCAAAAACTGAACTAATTTGGAAAGTGTATGTAACAGGCCTTTCTGATGCAAAATATCTATACAATCTGATCATAAAGATGTGTTCAGACAGGAAACTTATAATTTCTAAGTTAGGTTATATCTTTTAATACTTAATGGCATTAGAATACAAAAAAATGGATCAACTTGGGGAACCAAGACCAACCAAAAAGAGACCTGAAACAAGTCATATCCCAGCTGTGGTAAGAATAGTGTGGCATCTTGTAACAGGTGAAATCCACAAACACAAAGGTCAGTGGGAAAAAGCTATACAATTGCCCCAGGCAACAGTATACAACAGAAGGATATCCATCTGGAAACAAGTCCAACAGGATAAGGTTTCCAGTCACACCTCTTGTTCACCATCACATAACTCAAACTATTCATTTCTGTGTGAACAAACTGTTGAAATGGGCTCTGGGAAACAGTCGTACTTGTAATCTAGATGGATTATGGAAACCAATGGAGTGCCTTGAAGGTAACAGCCTTTTCTGGAAAACTAAAGTACAGAGCTATTGTTAAGATGTCATCTAAGATAAAATGTAACTGGACATGGTAATACAAAATGTAATGCTGTGAGGAAAAAAAAGAGTCCAAAATGGTTTTAATATCACATATTCTTCAGGTAGACCTCTGTGCAAACACTATTTTGTTACACAATTTTCAATGTGAGAATAAAGCACTGACATACTGAAATAGATGACACTTCAGTTGAGTTTACAACACATGCGAAGTAAGAGTCAAGCTACGTATTCTATGTTATGGCCTTGCAAAAATACAAGTCTCCATCATAAAACAAGCTTCTATCAGAGAAGACAGTACTCTCAATCAATACTTTAGTGTTATACATATACTTATATACCACCTGACCTATCTTTACATTAATAGATGATTCAGAGAATAAAATATCACTTCCTCTCCAAGAATATCATACCTAAGATATACACTAATAAACTGTTGCTAAAAAAAGAGAGAGAGATAAATAATGAAGTGCACTCACCTCTGATTTTATGCCACTGTGTTTTATCGACTAAAAACAATTCACTGTAAGAAAGAGAAAAAGAGATATAGATGTCAATGTTCAACTGAAGTTTCATAATGACAAAGATCTCCATGCTAATAATGCCTTAGAACTTTGACTGTTTTCAAATACACTGCATTCTTTTGGATGTTATTATTTTATTTCAAGTTCTCATGAAGTTAAAACAGCTATGTAAAAAGAATGAACCGGTAAATAATTCATTACCATCATCAAACTCTAGCTGAACCATCTCCAAAAAAAGTTTCAGGTTTCAGAGATGGATGAATGAAAAAACTTAATAAAAATGCTTCTGTTTACACATATCTTTCTACACTTCGAAAGTGTAGAAATATGTCTTATACTTACCATCCCAATAAAAAGATGACACATATTAAAGAACACACTGGTCCACGATACTTAACAAGGAGGATGTGACTTATAGTCAGAGATACAACACCCAGTACACTAAAGGCAAGGACATAATACATCTCAATGCCAAAAAAGTAATAAAGACACAGAATTCCAGAGGTCGCAGAAGTTACGTGAATCCAGAGTGGTGGTAAATACCCTAAGGAGAACAATAATGATTTTATTAGTAAAAAAAAATGATAAAAATAGAAATGAAACTCTTGGAAACAGACGTAACTGTGTAAAGGTATGGAAAGTTATATAATAGCTGATATAACACTATACAGTAGCTTTGATGGATTGTATTCTTTTTCTCATTCTAACGAAGGTAAACTAGACCATCAATTCAAATTAATGTCTTATCTCCAAGGAATAATTACTTAAAGTGCTAGATTAAGACCTGCCCAAGTTTTCAGACAGGTTTTTTTTTAATATTCCGACCATCACTTAAAACTGTGGGTTATTTATGTCATCCTAATCCTACTTCTAGTGTTCCTTCCTTTATCAACACTTAAACAATAAGTACTCGTCTCTCCACCTCATCTTTGTTTCACTCTCAAGTTTGCCTTGCTCAAGCATCTGATACTACTTCGCACATAAAATATGCTCAGTTGCTACTTCTTTTATATTTTTTAATTAATAAAGTAGCACTTTAATAATTGTTTTTATTTAATTTCTGCTAGTCTACAAGAAATGGTTTATTTATCAACAGCTCTATTAAATATTTGGTCAACACTTTATAGAAGAGATTTAGTAATACAACTATAAGTTTACTGGTAAAACATTACTTTTAATGTTAGTACTGTCTACTTAAACAAATTACAGAGGCCATAGTAAATAAAGTGTCTGTTGAAAAGAAATAAACTATCTTAATATAAAATGTTTCAACTGGAAGGAAAGTTCCCAATTTTGCAAGATCATGTTTTTGAAAATGTAATTAAACCAATGGTTCCCAAACATTTTTTCACTGATTACACCCTAACCCACTTACCTTGATTTGCCCACACTCGCGCTGCCACATGCAATAATATTTTTGTATTATTTTTATGTTCTTAATTATTCTTCATTTGGTGAAACTCTTGTGACACCCCGAGCAACTTGCCACGACACACAGTTTGAAAACCACTGAATTAAACTGTTCACAAGTTAAAAAGATTCAAGTTTTTTAATGTTCTCATTCATGTGACAAAAAAAGAAACCATTTGTATGTGACATATGAGTAACCAATATTGAGTGAGTAATCAAAATATAGTTTGACAAGATTTGAAGCAACAACCTTTGCATGTTTAACGAGGTAAGTATAAATGCAACATTCCACGTTAGTCTTTACCTTCACACAGCGTCGTTATGTAAAATCCTTGTATGTTTATATCTTACCTAACGAAACTGTAATTCTAAAAATTAGACAACAAACGAACAACTTCGAACAGGCAGCTACCCCTTCATACACTGTAGGGATCAAACATTCTCCTAACAGATCCCTGAGGGAATATTCTGAAACATCATTAACGACATCATAATACATGTCGCTATACGAGTCATCATACATCAGATCATACATAGCTTCAAGATCTTCTGGAGCCAGTTCCTCATCATACATGTCTTCATATTTCACTGTCATCTAGAAGAAAGAAAGAAACTGACCTTTAACCACTAAACTTGTAAAATATCATCTTCAACATCCTCAACTTCAACAGGATGTAGCTCACATTTTACATATAAAACCACTCCTCCCACCCCACCCCCCTTTCTTTAGTACTCTATCCTTATTAAACAAAGACTCTAAAAGACTTAAATTAAAAGTTGACACAAAATGTAACTTAAAAGGCCAATGGAACATACTGTTAATTCCAGGGTAAAAAGACATGAAATGTAACTTAAAAGGCCAGCAGAACATACTGTTAATTCCAGGGTAAAATAGACATGAAATGTAACTTAAAAGGCCAATGGAACATACTGTTAATTCCAAGATAAAATAGACATGAAATGTAACTTAAAAGGCCAATGGAACATACTGTTAATTCCAAGATAAGATAAACACAAAATGTTTTTAAAAGGTCAATGTAAAATATCATCTTCGACATCCTCAACTTCAACAGGATGTAACTCACATTTTACATATAAAACCACTCCTCCCACCCACCCCCCTTTCTTTAGTAGTCTAACCTTATTAAATAAAGACTCTAAAAGACTTAAATGTCTCTCTCAAGCATGGAAATAGTAGTAATTCAACTGGTCAAAAAGAGTTTGTTGGAGTGACGGAAGGATAAAAATTAATATTAAAGTACGT